GGGGGTCCCCTCCCTCCTACGTGGCCCCAGAGGGACAGGTTTGCTCTGCAGCCTGCTGTTGCTGCGTCAGGACTGGCCTAGAGACCAGGTTGTGTTCTCAGTTCAGAAGATTTTGGATTTTTAAAAACAGTAAATCGTGCTAGCACTGCTTTTGAGGTTTGGGCAGCACCCATGGTCAAATATTAACATTTCTGCAGCAAGACACAAATATTCCCATTAAGGGGACACATTAAGACTATAAATGGCCACACATCAGTTCAGGTCACATGTGGCTGCCAGCTGGGTTTGTTACAAACTTATAAAAAAGTTCTGCGTTCAGAGCTTTTGGCATTTGGAATTGTGGGTAAGAGGTGTGGACTGCGATGCGGGTAGCAGGTCCCTTGGGCTGGGAAGCCACGTTGGCGGGTCGGGCCGTGGTTCTTCATGGAAGGTCTGAGTGTGGAGCAGACCTGCTAGCAGGGCCCGGATTCTGCCCACCTCCCTGGCTGCTGAAGGGAAACGGCCTGGCTCTGCCGACTTCTTGGGGTGGGCTGGAGGTGAACGGGGGAGAGGGCGTGGGGTCTCATCCTATCAAACCCGGATTCCTGACTGAGGGTGTTGGAAAGGGGAGGCCCAAGCTGCCTGCTTTGCTCTGGCTTGAGTGAGTGATGGATCTGGACAGAAAGCACTGCAGGTTTGTGGAATGAGGGAGCGTGTTCCTCCTGCCTGGGGTGCCGGGCCTCCCCCGGCTGGTGTGACTGCTGCTGGGAAGCTGTGCTTACGCGGGGCCAGTCCACTGGCCTCATGGTGGGGAGGGCCCGGATGAGGGTGACCAGCCCTCCTGGGCTTCCTCTAGCTTTAGACAGTGTTGACCAGGGTCTGGGGTCTGGGTGGAGAATTAGGGAAGAGGCAGATGGGGGGCTGTTGCTGTTTGACCCCTGACCCCAGAGGACAGGAACAAGTCGCAGACGGGCCAGTTCACGTGGGCGCGGGCACCAGGCAGCCCAGGGCAAGCCCCCGCCCCTCCACTGTGGGGAGATGGCTGCCACTCGGAGGGCTTCTCCAGCCAGGGGGCGCTGGGTGCCCTCGCAGCAGGGCAGGACCCCGCCTGGCCCTAGCCTCCTCCTGGGATCTCCTGGAGCCTTTGAGTGGACACCCTGGGTTCTAAGCTCTGCCTCTGAACAGCCTTGATCCTTAAGTGAGAGAGTACGGAGCGTCTGGTAGTCACTCTTCTCGGGCCTCAGTGGCCCCTGGAGGGGACACGAGGCACCCTGGTGGCTCAGAAGGTTCTCAGCTGGTGCAGGTGACACAGTTGTGAGGCCTAGTTCAACTCTGTCCTGTGCTTCTCCTCCCTTGGACATTCTAACCGAACGTGCAAACTGGTGTGAGTCTGGGGATTTCAGCTGTAGGTGGAACCTGGTTCGGTGCCTGGAGGAAGCAGGGAGTTGGGGCCATGGCTCCCCGAGTGGTCCCAGGCCGTCTGGCCGCCTCCAGTTATTCTCGGGTGGCCTGATTAGTACCAGTAGGTGTAGGAGCTGTCAGCAGCGACTGCACAGAGCAGGCGTGTTCTGGGCCCGGGGCAGCCTGTCACGGCCTCCTTTGTGTGGAGCCACAGGTGGTGGTTCAGGGCCTTTTGGAAGCCCCCGCTCCCTACTTCGGCCGCGTGGCCTCGGGTGCTCTCTCAGCACGTTCTTCTGCCACCCAGTCTGAGAGGGCCTCAAAGCTGGGGCAGGTGGGGTCTGGGCGGGCACGGGGCACAGCGTGGTGACCCGACAGCCTGTGTTGTACTGTCTGTGCCGGAAATGGCGGCCCTGCTGACAGATGCTGGCCAGCTGATGCGCTTTCCCTTGGGGCGGGCCTGGCCTGTGGGCGGCGTCCGTGAGCCTGGGCTCAGCAGGTGTCTCCGCTGCAGGGCTGCTCAGAGCCTTTCCTCAACTAACTCGGGGCGTGAGGCAGGTCCCCAAGACCCCCCCCCCCCCGCCCTTGGTCTCTCTGCAGTGCTCCCAGGGCTTCCAGTGGCCAGGCCCGCTGGGAGGTGCTGCGGGAGTGGAGTGTCCACCGCGTGCTTTTCTCTGGGGCAGGGCTTGGAGTCAGTGTCCCGGCTGAGCTGCCCCTCGCTGGGCCCCCACAGCCCTGTTTGCCCGCCCCGCCCCCCCTCCCGCCGCCGCCCACGCTTGTTGGTTGGGCTGAACCTTCCTCTCCACACAGGCGGCCAGAGGAGGGTCGTGGGCATAAAGGATCCTTACCGTATTTGAGGACAATAAGGTGGCTTCAGGAAGCCCAAGGACCTTGGTGTGTGCGTTGGGGGACAGGCTGGGGTCCCGAGGACGGGGCACTGGTTCTGCGCTGCAGCTGGCGCGGGGCTGGGCCTGCGGGGCCCGAGAGACACGCTTCTGGGGGGTGGGCATCATGGGCGTCACCCGAGGAGCTGAGCACATGGCTCCTACTTCCCCCCTTCGGGGCCTTTGAAAAGGACCCGACCCAGGGTGGAGCCCTCGTGGGCACACAGTGCGGGGATGACCCCTAGCGGTCCCAGGGATTATGTACTGTGCACGTTGAAGGTTATCATGACTTCTTCCGAAGAGGAAGCTTTGAAATTAAATTTCTCAAGATAAGTGACATGGTGTGAACATGGTGTGAACATGGCTGATTGTAGTCTTTCACTAAAGTCTGCTCCCCCCACCGAAACCAATAAAAATCACACAAAATCCAAACTCTGTCACTATTTTCGGAATTTCCCTGTAGGGAATGGGAAAATAAGTCTAAAACTTTTCAACGTTGGGGAAAAAAATATCCTAAAGGGATTTGGGTTTCTTGGTTTTGTTCTCAGAGACATAAGAATTTTTATAGAAACCAGCATTTGTCTCTTGTTCCTCATTTTGTAAGAGAAAACATGTGGCAGGTTATATGGCAGCCGGATGTTCTTGCCTTTATCAGTAGGTGCTGGTGCCTCCCAAGCGGCTCTTCTCTCCTCTTCACGTTTTCTGTGCAGCCACCGGTGGCAGCTGGCCGTCCCCTCCACGACCAGCGCCCCAGCTCTGGAGGCGCCTAGGCTTGCGGACGTGGGTGGAGGGCGCCTTGGGGACAGGGGTCCGCTGGGCTGGCAGGCCTTGGGTCTGCGAGGGCCCTAACCCGCGTGCCCCCTCTCTCTCCGCAGGGTCGGGGTTCTGGAGGACTCCTTCACCTTCCTGGGCATCTTCTTGGCCATCGTCTTGTTCCCCTTTGGGTTCATCTGCTGTTTTGCCTTGAGGAAGCGAAGATGCCCCAACTGTGGAGCAAACTTTACTTAAAGGGAACAGCACACCTGGCTTCCCCACACCCAGCTCTCTTTTTCTAATGTAAATGTCGTGTACAATAGCTTCATGGGATTCAGCTTCAGGACTGTTTTGTAAAGGGAGGTGGGTGGACTGGGCGCGGGAGCCACAGGGAGTGTGGCCGCGCACGGCTCCCAGGTCAACAACAGCTCAGTAAGGCACTGCTTTTATTTTTTGCAGTCTTCAGTTTGGGAAAGGTGAGACATACTGCTTTAAATAAATGAGATCCATACCGTTGTTCACCTGGTTTCGCTTATTCAGTGCACACTGCCACTTACAGAAATCTGCCACTTACAGAAATCAAGTTTTGTTACGAAAACTTCAAACATATACAAAATAGAGAAGAGCGTTACCTCTCCTAAGTCAGCTTCAACATTATCCAGTTCACACCGACCTTCTGTTATTCCTCATTAGGCATTTACAGCTCAAAAACTGTGCTTGTTTTCAAGTTTGTATTATTATAATGAAACCTAATACCTTGACATTTACAGAGCACGCACCCCAGTGCCCAGGACCTAAGGCAAGGCCTCCCGTGCTGTGTGACGCAGGTAAGTGACGGCTGTCGTCCCTTCTGTGGAGGTGTAGAGGGTCTGGGTGAGCCAGGTGGGCCTGCAAGTGGCATCTGATAATCCCAGGACCCGTGCCATCCCTGTAACCAGAAGACCCCCCAGCAGCAGAGCTCTGGGGGCCGGGGCCACGGTGTGACACCCCCTGCCCTTTTTCCCTTAATTAACAAGCCTCTACACCTCACTCCCTCCACACTGTTGAAAATAAAGGGCTTCTGAACCCTACTCTTACTAAACGGTGAGAGGAGCAATGGGCCATGTGACTAATTTGATTGTGTTTTCTTGGCTGGTGGAAGGGTCTGCTCCTTGACAGAGGCCCTTAGCCTGCGGGTCCTGGGAGCCCTCACACAGTCCCAGACCCCCACCACCAAGCGGTCATAGCCGACCAGCCAGGAGGAAGACAGGACCAAGAACCCAAAGCGTCACACGCTTACACTGGTTTACCTGCATTTGACCTTGACCAATTTCAAGCTTATAGAAAAACAATATTCATGGCAAAGCCAAAAGCTGTGGTCAGCAACAAGCCCCCCTCCCCTGCCCCCATACAGTGGATGGCCTGTGTGTGAGTTTTCCTCCTCCAAATTGGGCGTAGTCCCTGACAGCCAGGGATAAACCCTGCCACTGGCTCTGCCTTGCCGCGCCGCTGCAGAAGCCCAGGTTCCGGGTATGCCGGCGTGGGGCTCAGCCGAGGTGCAGCCTCCCGCTACCCTCCCCCGGCTCCCAGAGGTCCTCCTGGCTTCAGCAGTGCTGTTTGCAGTTTCAGCACCTGACTGAAAAGTGGAGAAACTTGCACCCCAACAGGTTTCAGAGTAAATCAGTGATGGAGGCAGCTTTGGTCAACTAGCTTAGTGAGAGGAGCCTGGGTTTCTACGTGTGGAGTCCCCAGATGCATGTGTTATTACCCTGTGAGCCAGGCCCGCATGTGGCATGGCCTGGCATGTTTTCATTGGTATCCCAGTTGGTAGCTCAGAACGCCGAATTCAGTACCTCTTAGAAAGTATTCAAGTGCTAATATCATGGCTGTGATAGGAGAATTCTCAGTGCTCTTAGCGCTGTGTCTATCACGAGAACTTGCGGGATGCTTCATCTTGGGTAGGGCTGCATTTGACTTAGGCAAACATTTAGAAGTTTTTAAGTTAAAAAGTTAAATTTTATACAATATTCTCATAATTTATATTGCTTAAGGTTATTTGCATGCTGGGATGCAAATCTACACAGTGATTTCTTTAAACATCGTAATGCTATTTAAGAGCACATGCTTTATAAAGTAAAACTGTGATCTTATCTGCGTTCAGGTGCAGAAAGCCAGTCACAGAAGCGTCAACTATCCCTTATTCTGGCTATTAAAAAAAAAAATCATAGAATATTAAAAGAAAATGATACAATAGGATTGGAACCAAATTTACAGTACTTGAAAATTTACAGTTCTTGAACAGAATAGGAAGAAAATACTTTAAATGATTGAGTTGTAGCTAAACTATGATGTAGTTACCTTAAAGACAGAAATATGTAAACCCAGCTATGTTAAATTAGAAAATGCACTGATTTGCTCGAGTGGAATACATGTAAAATCAGGCACCCTCCGGTGAAGCTTTACAACAGGACAGCACTTATCACAAACGTATACCTATCATTTCCCAAGCGAGAACCGAACGGGGAACCAGAAGAATCTGGGGCCACCTTTTCATCGAATGACTGGTGCTGAGCGATCATTTGTCACTGTTGGTCGGAGTTTCACAGTAGCAAAGGGATTTTCTCTGCTGGGGAGGCGGGGGGAGAAAAAAATTGTAAGACAGGGATTTGGTTCAGAAAAAGAGCTAATAACTCTTGCTCTTGTTCTGTAAAATTATATAGCTTATATAAATCCCAGACATTTTCTGAACATGGAAGTTTTGTTCTGTGACAGTTCTCTCCATGCGCCCATTATAAGCTGCTAATTGTTTCGTTTTGGCTACAGTGAGAAAGGCCTCAGGCCTGGGGGTCCTCTGGGAGCGGGGCCTGGAGGGCCTGCCCAGCATCTGCCCTGATCCAGAAGGGAGTTCCCCTGGCCTCGTGTTGCGTTTGGCACTTAATAATGCAGCCGCTGTCCTAGAAGGCTCTCCCACCACCACCTTCCCGCCCCACACAGGACTGCAGAGAGGTACGCTGCCCTCTGTCTGAAATGTTTAAAGCTCTGGACAGTTCTGTAATGGGCGGTGGGCTTCCCTGGCGGTCCAGTGGTTAGCACTCCACACTTTCATTGCCAAGGGCCTCGGTTCTGTCCCTGGTCGGGGAACTGAGATCCTGCAAGCCCAGTTCTCCTAGGCTGACCAAGGGGGAGGGCCCTGGTGGAGGAAAGTAACATACCTGAGAAAAGGAGGCTTTGCAAACCCATTTGCATCATTCTGTGGGAAAGAAAAAGAAGTTTATGGAAGGCTCATGAAATTGGGACATTTTTAATAAGAACTGAAGGGAAAGACATCTAAAGCATAAGGGACTGCTTAAAGCTGTGCACGTGTCAGAGTGCCCTGGAGTCTCAATTCATTGTCTCATTTATCTAAATTCACTCGGAAGCGTAAGGGCAAGAACAGAAGACATTCTGAAACACAGTGAGGGACCCTTACAAATGCTGGAACATCTTAGAGGGAAACGCAAGGTCTGCTGCTCCCTGCCTGTGGCCTGAATTCACGTGCAAAACTGTAGTGATTAAGGTTGGCTTTTTGGGAGCCCGATCCTGAACGATGCCATGAGAAACAGTAAAAAGAAAACCTTGTTGGGTTTCGGTGCCGTAGACTGGTGCCAACTGCCAAGCAGAGATCTGATCTTGCAGAAGTTCCGTAATTGCGGGAGAGAGAGGACAGAACAGTGCAGGCACTGTCTTTGCCTTCAGGAATTGCCAGAGCCCTCTCGGAGCCCCGGCCTCCAGCTCCCAGGGGCTCGGGGTCTCCCAGTGTGGCCGGGGACCAGGTGATTGTGTGTCCTCTCCTTCATTCCACAAAGAATCTGCTTTAAATCTGCTCTGGCTGTTGTAAGAAATCACTGGCCCAAGCTGGAGGGCTTATTCAGATGGCTGCCCAGGAGAGGGCAGTGCCATGCCATCTGACCAGGGCCACCAGGCCAGCTCCCAGGATGCCCCATGGTCTCAGGGCTTGCAGGCCTCTGAGCTCCTCTCACTTCCTGTTGCCAGTTGCCAGCCTGGGGCTGAAGGCCACGCCTGGAGTAAAAGCCAGGCCAGGGCTCCCTTGGGATGGCCTCTCCTGGGTGCTGGATGTACAGACTCAAGGCAGAAGGGGGCTGGGGGCACCAGGGCTACTTCGCAGACCTGCGCCTGCTGTCTCCGGGCCTCTGGGGACCTCACACCTTGACCTTGAACCTGGGGCCAGTAAGGTCATCCCGAGGGGGAGCCCCAGCACCAGGGGCAGCCAGCCCTATGTCCGGATTCAATGTCTCCCTCTCAGGATTGAAGCACAAAGCAGCTGCCCTGCTCGTTAGCACATCCTAAAAGGGCCTGTCCCCACAGGGCTGCCGGGCTTGCTCAGCAGGCCTCGGGGTGAGCAGTTTCTGATGTAACATTCATGTTACAAGATGAGTAAGGGCTAACTTATGATTTATTTTAAAAATACCCCAGAATGCCTGTCGTGCAGTCCCACACATGCTCAGGGTGCTGGCATTAACCTGCTGCCCAGAGCAGGTGCCCCCAGGCTGGGGAGGCTGAGTCCAGGCTGTGACTGTGGCTCAGGGGGGAGGCCGGCTGCGTCCTCCCGGCCTGGAAGGCCCACGTCCTGCCAAGCTGGACTCCCCGGATGCGGCCTCCGCAGGGCATGTAACAGAAACCACCTTCCTGCCTGTCCTTGGGGCAGGACACTGTCCCCCTCCCCTGTGTGTCCTCAACTTGAGGAGTGCCCCCGCTGCCCTCAAGGCAGAAACCTTGGAGCCTGACTGAACTCTGAAACGAGCTTAGCCATGGTTTCACAGGCTGTGTTATCTGGGTGACACGACATGGTGAGAGAAACAAACACTGGAGGAGATGCGCTGAAGTCCAGCCCTGGCGGTAAAGTGGCAAGAAGTAACAACTTGTGCTATGAGGAAAGAGAGCAAAATGACTCCTAAGACGGCAGCCCGAAGCTACCGGGCCCTGGCACATGCCCCAGCGAGCCCACTCCTGGTTGGTACAAGCAGCATGCGTGCACATTAGCACTGAGACACCCGCTAGGATGCATGGGGCAGCCCTATCCCAACAACAGGAGAGATGTCAGGCAAAACGTTCTCTGACATAAATCGTAGCAATGTTTTCTTAGGTCAGTTTCCCAAGGGAATAGAAATAAAAGCAAACATAAACAAATGGGACCTAATCAAACTTACAAGCTTTTGCACAGCAAAGGAAACCATAAACAAAACGAAAAGACAACCTACAGACTGGGAGAAAATCTTGGCAAACTATGTGACCGACAAAGGCTTAGTTTCCAAAATATACGAATAGCTCATAACAGCTCAATAACAAAAAAAATTCCAATCCAAAAATGGACAGAAGGCTTAGACATTTCTCCAAAGAAGACATACAGATGGGCAACAGGCACATAAAAAGATGCTCAACATTGCTAATTATTAGAAAAATGTAAATCAAAACAACAGTGAGTTTCCACCCTCACACTGGTTAGAATGGCCATTATTAAAAAGTCCACAAATAACAAATGCTGGAGAGGGTGTGGAGAAAAGGGAACCCTCCTACACTGTTGGTGGGAATGTAAATTGGTGCAGCCACTATGGAGAACAGCGTGGAGGTTCCTTAAAAAACTAAAAATAGAATTGCCATATGAATCAGCAATTCCACTCCTGGGCAGATATCTGGACAAAGCTCTAATTCAAAAAGATAAATGCACCCCAACGTTCATAGCAGCACTATTTACAATAACCAATACACAGAAACCACCTAAAGTGTCCATCAACAGATGAATGGATAAAGAAGATGGGGTACATGTATACAATGGAATATTACTCAGCCATAAAAGAGTGAAATACTGTCATTTGCAGCAACATGGATGGACCTATGAATTATTGTACTAAGTGAAGGAAGTCAAAAAGAGAAAGACAAAACCAATATGATATCACTTATATGTGGAATCTAAAATATGACATAGGGACTTTCCTGGTGGTCCAGTGGGTAAGATGCCACGCTCCCAATGCAGGGGGCCCGGGTTCGATCCCTGGTTGGGGAACTAGATCCCACATGCATGCAGCAACTAAGATCCCACGTGCCACAACTAAACATGCCACAAAGATCCCACATACTGCAACTAAGATCCGGTGCAGCCAAAATAAATAAATATTTTAAAGAAATAGAATATGACACAAATAACTTATTTACGAAACAAATAGATTCACAGACAGAAAACAAACATGGTTACCAAAGGGGAACACGGGGAGGGATAAATTAGAAGTTTGGGATTAACAGATACACACTACTATACATAAAATAGGTAAACAAGGTTCTACTGTATAGCACAGGGAACTATATTCAGTATCATGTAATGTACTGTAATGAAAAAGAATAGGTTTAAAAAAGAATGCATACATATGTATAACTGAATCACTGTGCTGTACACCTGAAACTAATGCAACGTTGTAAATCAGTTATTCTAACAGGAGGGATGACAGCCTCTGTTGAGACACCAGTGGAACCACAGGAGGACACAGTTCTGTCCACGCAGGGCCAGACCAGACAGGCACCCAGCGTCCAGAAGAGGGCAGTCTGGACTGTGAGATGGGACAGTTGGGGGGACTCCCGGAGGGCCGGTAATGCTCCAGTTCCTGATTGGGTGTTGGTTATATGGAGTCACTTTGTGAAAAGTGACTTTTCTTGCACTTTTCTGTATATGGTATTCAATATTTACCAAAAAAGAAATAAGGACCTTTTCAGAAAGGTGTCCTCTTTAACACACCTGCCAGCGAGCTTATTGCCACGGCCGCCCTCCTCCCAGCTCCCTTCTCCTCTGCGAAGGCACCTCCTTTGCCCAGCGAGGAGCCCAGGATCCGCTGGCCCCAGACCTGCCCGCACGGCCCACCCCCCGCCGGCTGAGCCGGGAGCCGCCTGTCCCTCTACTGCCTACCCGAGCCTGCGGTGAGGGGTTCGGGGTCTCCCCCCACACCCCATCTTGCCCTCCTCTGTCGCCTGGCACACGTTGCCCTGTCCAGGAGCACCGAGGGCTCTGGAGGCCCTTCTTGGTCGTTCTGTGACCCATCTCGGCACAGCTCCTGGCGTGCCCGGGGCACCTCCTCTGTCGCAGTGTGGGCCACACAGCATGCGCTCGGAAGAGCCCCGCCCCGCCCGCCGTCGGGGAGACACCAGTCCTCACTCACCTCTCGGGTTCTGCTCCAGTTCGCAGCACGCGTCCCACCCCCACTTCGCTCAGGCTTCACAGAGCACGACTCCCAGGTGCTGGTCCCTCTGCTGGGCTGCACCCGTGGCCACGGCCTGTCGCGTGTTCTGTGTCCCCTCTTGGCAGCCGGCATGCTTCCCTCCCCACGAGTGGCCAGGCTGCCAGGGGACAGCGGGGCCGGGGAGGCCTGGGGACTGGATGGCGAGACAGCCCACAGGTGGGAACAGGCATGGGACATGCCTGGTGACTTTTCCCGAAAAACCCTAAACCCCAGTCCACCTGGAGGTGGCCCTTGCTGGCTGTCACGGTGTCCGCATCACGCCCCCTCCCCGCCACCCCGGAGTTCTGCCTGGGTGTCTACTGCGTGCCCATGTGCCTTGAAGATGACGCGGTCCCAGCCTACAGGTCAGCTCAGACCCGCAGCCACAGGCAGACGCACAGAGGTGATGGGACCCGCGGCCCGGCCAAGGCTCTGTTGAGAAGCCTCGCGGGGAATCCTCCACACCCCTGGGGACCGAGCCATCCTGCCCCTGAGGGACGGGCCCTAGGGCTTCCTTGGTGCCTGCCCTCCTGCACGGCTGCTTCCTCGGACAGAACGTCCCTTCCTCTCCACCGCCAGCTGGAGAGCAGCTTTGCGTGGTCCGCGGTGTGAGCAGCCCTGAGTGACACTGCTTTACGTGTTAACAACTAACTCAGTCCTCAGCTGCAGGCTGGACTCTCCCAGTTCACAACCTCTGACCCAGTTCAACCCCTTTATTATTTTTTTTAATTTATTTTTGGCTGCATTGGGTCTTAATTGCTGCACACAGGCTTTCTCTAGTTGTGGAGAGCGGAGGCTACTCTTCGTTGCGGTGTGCGGGCTTCTCATTGCAGTGGCTTCTCTTGTTGCGGAGCACGGGCTCTAGGTGCGCGGGCTTCAGCAGTGGCGGCACGCGGGCTCTAGAGTGCAGGCTCAGTAGTTGTGGCACACGGGCTTAGTTGCTCCGCGGCATGTGGGATCTTCCCAGACCAGGGCTCGAACCCGTGTCCCCTGCATTGGCAAGTGGATTCTTAACCACTGCACCATCAGGGAAGCCCAACCCGTTTATTCTTAAATGGGGAACTGAAGCCCAGACGGGGAAAGCCAACTGCTCTGGTCATGGAGCTCTTTTCTGAAACCAACGTGCCCACTCGCTGAGGCGGGGGGTAGGGGTGGGGGGTGGAGGCAGCACCCACTCAGCGCAGCTCCTACAGGTCGCCAGACGTGCTTTGAAATCAAAGTGTGTGGGTTTGAGGGCTTGGTTTCTCAATAGCTATTTAAAGCCCAGTTATCGGATTACTTAAAAGCTACTGCCACTAAGGCAGAGAGCACGTGACCGACCCCCAGCCCCTGGTACTGAAAAGACTGCATCTCATCTCTTGAGATGGGACGTCCCAGGGCAGCTGGGTCCACCTCACTGGGTTCAGGAACATTCTCTGGTGGGTGGCTCCCAGGTATACCCTAGGTATCCTGGTGTTTAAACAAAACTCGACGTGTAACTGACAGTATTCTGATGGTTGTGTGTGTGTAAAAACTACACATAAAAGTGTTAGGGGGGGGCCTCCCTGGTGGCTCAGTGATTGAGAGTCCGCCTGCCAATGCAGGGGACATGGGTTCGTGCCCTGGTCCGGGAAGATCCCATGTGCCGCGGAGCGGCTAGGCCCGTGAGCCATGGCCGCTGAGCCTGCGCGTCTGGAGCCTGTGCTCCGCAAGGGAGAGGCCACAACAGTGAGAGGCCCGCGTACCACAACAACAATAAAAAAAAGTGTTAGGCTGCTTTACCAGCTCCCACAGACCCCAGAGTCTGGCTGAGACAGAACATACTTTTCTCCAGTGTTATCAGCTGGTGTAAACAGTTTAGGAAAGATAGATGACCAGCCCAGTTGGGCGTAAGAACCTCTGAGATACGAAATTCCAGGGCTGTGTCTCCAGCCCTCAGGGAGGTCCTGGAAGGGCCTCATCGTGGTACCTGCTTCTCGACCATCACCCTCTGGATCAGGTTTCTAAATGAAATCTCGTTCTCTCTTGTGTGATCTGTACCTGGCCGATTGATACAGCAGCCGCTCACTGTATGACTAGATGAAAATACAAATTTAAAATTAAAAACGCAGCTCCTTACAGTTGCACTCTCCACTTTTCAAGTGCTCAGCAGCCCGTGTCCAGTGGCCACTCTGCTGGGCCGCCCAGTTCCGGAACATTTCTGCCTGATCCATAATCTCTCCGGGTTTGTTTACCGACGCACAGATGATTGGATCCTGTGTCTGCTGCCTTTGCAAGAGGCCATGACGACTAGGTGGCCTATTAAAAACAGGCCTTTTCACCTGCTCCCCAGGGGCTCTCTTTGGGGCAGAGCTGGTCCTTCTGTCCGCTCTGCTGTGCTCTTGGACTCCCACTCTGACTTGGTAGCGATGAAACGCGGTAGCTTGTGTAACGGACAGGTTGTAGGCAGCGGAGGCATCTGAGGGTGTACACCGCTGACAGTTGCAGCTTTTTCTTTGGCACTTTGCAGAGGATACTGAAATATTACTTCAAAAGATGAAGCGATAGAAATGGAATACGAATCAGTCATTATACCTCATGATGCGTCTGTGAACGCCCTGTACTTACTTTTGGGTTATTACCGTCTTCAGCCCAAGGTTAGATGCACGTTTACAGACATGGAAAACTGAACATCCAGAAGAGTCAGGGTGACTGGTTGAGAGGCTCTGAAATGACGGATGGCAGCGCCTCGTTCAGGAAGTGCACGAACCTTGTGGCCTTTGATGATTTTTAAAAGCCAATTAATATTTTCTTGTGGCCTTTATTAATTAGCATTTTCCATTATTCTCCAGATCAGAACATAGTAACCTATTGGTACGTCTTAAACAGCACACAGGTGACGGTGGTACTTGTCTCATCAACGGAGTTCTGATGGAGGGACACCTACATGCTGCTGATCCGTGAGGATGAGAGGGGCACAGAGGTGCTATTCATGGGCTCACAGGGTTCCTGCCACAGGCCTGCAGCTCATCACAGCCCAGGCAGCAGTGCTGGGGCTCGTTAGAAGCATAAATGCTTCTAAGGTGATATGAGAAAATGCTATGATCCCACCATGTGGTTGGGTGCTGGGGAGGGAGGGGAAAATATCTATATATCTAAATATATCAATATTTATCTGTATCTCAAAGGAAATATAATGAAATGTTAACAGGAGTTATCCTAGAAGTGAGATTATAAATAGAATTTTCTTTTTAATACTGTTGTATGTTTTCCAAATTTTCTACCCAAACAAAAATTCTCTGGATTATTTTTATGAAGTGTTATTTTTAGAAGTAGTATTTAAAATGAGATGTAATGATTAGATGTTTTAATTTTTACAAGGAGACCCTGACCAAACTTGGACTTTGCTGTTTAGCCAAAACCTGTAGCTTCGACTGCCCGCCGGATTTAAAAGGAAACCTAATTTCAGCATATGTTTAATGTACCCAGCAAATGGCAACATTTGAGGTGAAAAAATATTAAAACATACTTTTGTTTACTTAAAGCATGGGATGGATAAATATTAATTTAAGAGTTCATCCTTATTTCTGTCTCAAGAGTGGGATAATTTATCAGTTTGATTATTTGCAAAGTAGAATTTGAGATAAAAATTTTACCATAAAGCCATTCCTTAATAGTCAAATCATAAAATATATAAATACCTCCATGAAAGGCAACTTTTATCTGTTTTTTAATCAAAAGTGGGAAGGGGGTGGTTTCTCAAATTGTAGGTACTTTAACAAACCATAAGTAACTTCGTCTTTAATTAATACAATCATACTTATGGGACGCTGATTATTTTTAATTATTCAGAACCTCCAAAATAAATATTTATATTTTTCTAGTAGTTAAATGTGTAAGAATGTTTTTTCTTTCTAACGCTGGCATGTTAAAGATCTAATGTTATGTGCTCGTTATATAAATTATCCAAAAAAAAAAAGGCTCCAAAATATGTAAACATGAGTAAACCAGACCTGCTCCCAGAGCTGAGACAGAACAGCACTCTCTCCCGTGTAGGTACCAGCAGTTAGTCACTAGCTCTATCAGTTCTTCCCCTTAAGTACTGACAGATCCTGTCGCCCCATCCCCAGCAGTGGACGGGACTCCTACCGTCCCCTCCCTGGATGAACGAATGCCACCCGGAAGGATGGGAAAGGACGCAGTACAGCCCAGGCGGCCCGGCTCGGGGAGCGTCACCCCTGGCCTGCCCATCCTGCCGCTTCTCCGCCGTTGCCCCAACCGCGCCCAGCCACGAAGACCCCACGACACCGTCTGAAGGCTTTGGGTTTCATCAGAGCTCTTCCTTCAGGACTCGGCTCAAATGCTTGCCTCCAAGAAGCCACTTCTGATGCTTCCCAGGAGCCTGAGCCAGGGCCTTCCCCGCCTCCTGTCACCCTGCACCTTTTCCACAGCCCCAATAAACAGCTCTCACTGGACTCAGTTCCGGGGTTGATTCCTATTTGTTACCCTAGAGCCTAGCCCAGGGCCTGGACCGTAATAAGCTCGTCAATAAATGTTCCATGGACGAGTTCCAGTGCGACCTGCAGATCCCCTCTACAAAGTGTACCTTCACGTGCCATGTGATTGGGTTTAAAAAAGTTTCGTTGGTCACAGTAGTCTGATACCATAGAAATGTTTGTTGCCAACGTTATAAATGTGACCTCACTGTAACTATCGACTCTATACCTGTTCCCTTTTACTGCAAGGTTTCACTTATTATTAAGAAAAGTGTTCGTCCACATTCATTATTCTGACATTTGCAAAATCAACGCCAACTAATCGCCATTGGAATCACAGAAGGAGGGCGTTTTCATTACATATTTAGAGCTTTTTTTTTTTTTTTTTGTGGTACGCGGGCCTCTCACTGTTGTGGCCTCTCCCGTTGCGGAGCACAGGCTCCGGACGCGCAGGCTCAGCGGCCATGGCTCACGGACCCAGCCGCTCCGCGGCATATGGGATCTTCCTGGACCGGGGCACGAACCCGTGTCCCCTGCATCGGCAGGCGGACTCTCAACCACTGCGCCACCAGGGAAGCCCTGTTTGTAGATTTTTTGACGATAGGCCCCCTATTTCTGTCTTGCAGGCTGGAAGGCCTTTTTCAGTCTTTCATTTTAGTGGCCTTTATTTTTTTATTTCATATAAGAATATTTAAAAGCTCTAGGGCTCCCCTGGTGGTGCAGTGGTTGAGAGTCCGCCTGCTGATGCAGGGGACACGGGTTCGTGCCCCGGTCCGGGAAGATACCACATGCCACAGAGCGGCTGGGCCCATGGGCCATGGCCGCTGAGCCTGCGTGTACGCTGTGCTCCGCAACGGGAGAGGCCACAACAGTGACAGGCCTGCGTACCAAAAAAAAAAAAAAAAAAATCTACAAACAATAAATGCTGGAGAGGGTGTGGAGAAAAGGGAACCCTCTTGCACTGTTGGTGGGAATGTAAATTGATACAGCCACTATGGAGAACAGTATGGAGGTTCCTTAAAAAACTACAAATAGAACTACCACACAACCCAGCAATCCCACTACTGGGCCTATACCCTGAGAAAACCATAATTCAAAAAGAGTCATGTACCACAATGTTCACTGCAGCACTGTTTACAATAGCCAGGACATGGAAGCAACCTAACTGTCCATCAACAGATGAATGCTTAAAGAAGGTGTGGCAGATATATACAATGGAATATTACTCAGCCATAAAAAGAAACGAAATTGAGTTATTTGTAGTGAGGTGGATGGACCTAGAGTCTGTCATACAGAGTGAAGTAAGTCAGAAAGAGAAAGACAAATACCGTATGCTAACACATATATATGGAATCTAAAAAAAAAAAAGGTTCTGAAGAACCTAGTGGCAGGACAGGAATAAAGACTCAGACACAGAGAATGCACTTGAGGACACGGGGAGGGGGAAGGGTAAGCTGGGATGAAGTGAGAGAGTGGCATGGACATATATACACTACCAAATGTAAAACAGATATAGTGGGAAGCAGCCGCATAGCACAGGGAGATCAGCTCGGTGCTTTGTGACCACCTAGAAGGGTGGGATAGGGAGGGCGGGAGGGAGACGCAAGAGGGAGGGGATATGGGGATATATGTGTACGTATAGCTGATTCATTTTGTATACAGCAGCAACTAACACAACATTGTAAAGCAATTATACTCCAATAAAGATGTTAAAAAAAAAGAAATAGGGGGCCTGACCGGAGTGTCAGGGCAATGCTGGCCTCACAGAATGAGTTAGGAATTCTCTCCTCTCCACTTTTAAGGAAAGTCTGAGTAGGATTGGTATTAGTTCTTTAGACGTTTGATAGAATTCACCAGTGAAGCCATCGGGTTTTGGGCTTTGTCGGGAGACCTTAAGTTACGGGTTCGGTGGGGAGGGGCTTCAGGTGTGGAGCTCTGCCTGGAGGCAGCCCTGGGACCTCGCAGACCAGGATCCCCAGGGTGTGAGCTGAGGACCCCTGCACCTGATCCGGGGGGCAGGGCAGCAGCTTCCACGAGGGCCTGCCACAGAGGAGGCGGCCCCAGGGCAGCCAGGCCACCCTGGGCCTGGGGAGAAAGCAGTGTGCTTGAAGCTCTGCTGCCCAGCAAGTGGGAAGGGATAAAAAGGTGGGCACTGCGTGCGGTGCTGCTGCCTAGCTGGTCTCCATGCTTTTCAAGACAGCCTCCCAATACTGACAGTCTATTATGATCCAGCCAACAGAGAGGTTTAAAAATAAAGTTAGAGCTCATTTAAACTGCCAAATGCTTAATAATGAATATCATTACTGACTATATTGATATCTAAAACCAGGATTTTTCAATCTATCCATCCAGTGTGGTAAGAAGTACACCAATGCTTTCTTCATTGAGCTTTATCCACGTGGTAAAAATACTGAAAATTAAAACATGTTATTTTCTAAAATCGGTGCTGTTAGCTAAAATGTGTTTTCATTTGTACTTCCAGTGCTAGCTATGATTTGGGGGCAAGATTCTTCTACCCTAAAAGGCACTATACAGGCAGACCTCATTTTATTGCATTTCACTTGACTGTGCTTCACAGATGCTGCTCTTTTTTTTCCTTACAAATTGAAGGTCGTGGCAAGGCTATAGGCATCATTTTTCCAACGGCATTTGCTCACTTCATGTCTGCATCACATTTTGGTAATTCTTGCAATATTTCAAGCTTTTCATTATTATTATAGTCACAGTTATCTGTGATCAGTGGTCTTTGGTGTCACTACTACGACTCACTGAAGGCTCTGATGATGGTTAGCATTTTTTATCAATAAAGTATTTTTAAATTGAGGTTTTTTGAGACATAATGCTATTACACACTCAACAGACTACAGTATAGAGTAAACATAACTTTTATGTGCACCGGGAGACGGAAAAGTTCCTGTGACTTGCGTTATCGAGATGGTCTGGAACCAAACCTGCAACATCTCTGAGGCCTGCCTGTACAACCTACATCCATGGAGCCGGGCGGTCATTATCAATGGCTGCTGACATCACGGAAGGAAACAAGCAGACGCCTATACCCACCACCACCACTGATGAAATGCTCTACGAAACAAAACAGGCAAACTAACAAAACAACAACAGACTCTGATCAAGGCGGGAAATACAGAACAAAGGGGAACTCAGTAAAGGACACCATGTGCATGCAACCAGCAAAAATCCAGACTGGGGACACCCGCCAGGACCAGTAACCTGGGTTTTCTACAGAGAGATTACAAGGAAAAAGAGACAGGGGAGACCTCTAGATATGGAAAGACTCATCACGAGACTGAACCACCAATTACAATGTAGGGAGCTAGCCTGGGTCCAGATTCGAACAACTGTACTGTCAAGAAATTTTTAATGAGACAATCAGAAATTTGAAGTGACCAGGTGGTGATATTCAGGAATTATTGTCAATTTTAAAAGATATGATAATTGGCATTGTGGTCATGTGAGAGAAAAAAAGAGGATCTTTAATATATTTACAGATGAAATAATATGTTGTCAGTTGTTAGCTTCAAATTGATCTCGGAGTGGGTGGGGGAGAGATGAAACAAGATTTATAAATGAACTGTTGAAGCTAACCTGGGGGACCAGGTCATTAGATTATTCTGTCCATTTTTATGTTCGAATTTTTCCATAAGAAAAAGTTGCAAATCAAAGCCAGGAGAAGGCACTAGAGGGACAGGTCCCACCTGAACAACGGCCCTCACGTGCCTGGATTCTGAGCTTTGTGACGTGCAAATTGCAAAGTTTCTTTTTCCCCAGCAAAAGGAATTGTTAATGCTTTCAGAAATGCCTTAAGATCATTTCCAAAGAGTTTGAATACTGTTTTAAAATATACTCGGGCCTTTAATAAAATAGCATTTCACATGTGCCCTTCCCAAGCAGTTTGTCCAGTTTTGACATCTACTGCTAACAAAATGGAAAAGCTCCATTTTCTTCTGAAAATAATTTTTGGAGTTAGTTGGGGTGATTTGCAAACAATCACACAGTATATGCTTATTTAAGAGGAGAAGCCAAAGGCATTTTTGAATGAGATTTCAGAACAGTGCATTTCCTGGACCAAAACACGTGCTTCGGCCTGTGAGGGGGCCGGCACGGTCCCCGACACCTGCGCTCGCACTGTAGCAACGATGGGCCCATCGTTGGGAGCACTCCCATCTCCTGTAAGCGACCCCGCCCCCGCCCCGCTCAGAGCTGAACAGAGGCCCCCACTAGGGGTGACAACACACCCCATGGGAGGCATGGCTTCTGCATGCACCACAGGAAGGAGCACACGATAACGAAGGGTAACGGAAAACGAGCAGAAACATTGGCCCAGGCTTACTGCACCAACAGCTCATATCCCACTTCTCTCCGGAGCACGCTCACTTTCTCACTCTGCAAAACACCTCTGGCACCAATTCTCTTCTTTTGAACTTGTTCAGCACCTCCCTGCCCGCCCCGTCCGCTGGTGATCCGTCCTTCGGCACTGACAGACATCCCCCAACACAGCCCTCGAGTCTGTCCTCCCAGCTGCACCCTGGCCCCGGCCCTCGGCCTTCCCGTCAGCACAGTGGACCCGCATCCCTGCCCCGGCCAGCCGGCTCCTCCCCGTGTGCTCTTCTTCCTTCTCAGTCAGCCCCTTTCCTCCATCCTTTCCCCCTTTCTCTACTGTATAATCTACACTGAAAATAAAATTTAAAAAAAGATGAGAACCCCTCTGGAGGCTCCGCCACCCTGGAATCCTCACCTCCCTCCTCTGCTCCCTGAGGGTGCCGAGTCCACCACCCTCAGGACTTTTAAACTTTCTGCTCCTTCTATCTGGGAAGCTCCTCCCCTTGACCCCTGGGTCTCAGATGTCACCCCCCAGAGAAGTGCTCCGTTGCAGGCTCTGTCATGTGCTGCCCAGATCCCCTTCAGGACTGGGACTGATTCTGGCTGTGGGGAGATGGCCCTCGGCTGGCAGCGCTCCTCAGGAATCGCTCTGGCTAAGACCCCGGCCCCCAGATGCTGCCCCCAATCCAGGCAGCTCCAAGGGCCGTCCCAGCCCAGAGGTCTCGGCGGGGGCAGTGGAGGCTCCGGGCCAGCCTCTCCCTTCCATACGGGGCCCGGGCGGCTCTCATCAGCACCCGCACTCGCTCTCAGAGTCAGCTTCCCAGAACACCCAAACCCTGACCTCCATCCAAGAGGTCACCCGATCCCTCATCACCTCACCTTGCTACATTCCTCCATGTAGCTTCTAGCATTGATATTTGTGTTAACTTCTCATCGTCTGCTTCTTATCACTAGAACCTAAGTTCCAGCAGAGCCAGGGGCTGGTCTTGTTTATCTTTGCGTCTCCAGAGCCCACACCGGGGCCTGGCCCAGAAGACAGAGTTGTCAGAGGAACAGACGAAGTGACTCACAGCCTCTGTGCCTCTTACCCGCTTGTTTAGGATTACAGATAACGTACACACAGGGTTTACACAGCACCCTTTCTGAAGGTGTAATGATCAGATCACTATGTTCAACCTTAAGTCTTCCTTCAGAAAACAATATGAAAACTGAAGAAAATGCAGAAAAAGGTCACTACAGGTCTAAAGGACTGCAGCCATGAACAAAAGCAAGGAGAGCTTAAAACCTGATACAGTCTGGCAAATGATGGGCCTACTGTGTGTAAACTGTCATTTACAGATAAACTAAAAACAAAAGGGGGACTGAAGGTAAGGAAGCTGAAAGGCTGTGTGGCAGGGGAATCTGCAGGCCCTGGGAGGGAGTCTCCACCCCGCCTGGGGGTCAGCACCTTCCTGTGTAGAGGGAAAAGCACCCCACGTCACCAGAGCCTGCTGTTCAGGATCGCGGTACACTGGGCCTTACTCACAGGAGACGTGGTTTCTGGTTTGGACACTGGTGCTTTAAAGGTAGAAGCGTTTTGGAAAACCGCTCCTTTCTTTTCTGCAGCCGCCCCCATGGACGAACATTCTAAGTAATCCGGTGGGGGGATGACGACGCTGCTTTTCTCAGATAAGTTCATCGTGCTCACGCTCCGTACTGATACCGAGCTAGCGAACAAGAACCAGAGGATACAAGTTAGATGAGACCTTGGCCCTGCACCCCAAACATCCCCAATCTCCTATGGCCAGAACTGCGGTGGATTAATAATCTAATACGGTGAGGGAGGAGGAGATTACCCCCCCAACACACACACACACTGTATATGACACTGCAGTGTTTCTGCTGACTTATAAATGTACACTCAAAAGAAATCCTTTAAAAGACATGACAAAAGAAAAGGAGAGGAAAACTGGCTCAATTAGGGGCTGGCTCTTAATTCAAGGAGTTCAATAAGAAAATACAGCAAATGCCTTAAGCAAAAGCATCGAGCACTGCGGACTAAAGAGTCTCAGCATTTCAACATCCTAAAGATATTTAGGGGCTTCCCTGGTGGCGCAGTGGTTGGGAGTCCGCCTGCCGATGCGGGGGACATGGGTTCATGCCCTGGTCCGGGAAGATCCCACATGCCACAGAGCGGCTGGGCCCGTGAGCCATGGCCGCTGAGCCTGCGTGTCCGGAGCCTGTGCTCCGCAACGGGAGAGGCCACAGCAGTGAGAGACCCGTGTACCGCCAAAAAAAAAAAAAAAAACATATATATATATATATATATATATATATATACACACACACACACATATATATATATATATTTAGTTTCAGTCCTTGGCCACTGGCAGCTGAGCTATTCTGCAAGGGACAGAAACACACAGATGGCTCGGAGCAAGTATAATGGAAGGACTTGGGGGGGGGCATCAGGTGCGGCATCCGCGGTCCGCTGGGGACAGCGGGATGGGTCAGGACGGTTGCTCTGACATGGGAAACACTGTGGCCAAGACGATGCCACGTTCAGTTTGGACATGTTTCTGAGGACCCACACCACATACAAACATTCACGTCTTTCTTGGCTGGGAGAGACCTGCCTGGGTTAGTCTAGTCTTGGGTCCACCACTTCCAGCTGCCTGAGCAAGTTATTACACCTTTCCGTGCCCCCATCTTCTCAATTTTCAAGCAGGGACCTATCTCACAAGGTTGTATGACGATTCAATGACCTGGTCAGTGTAAGGCACTTTGGACAGTTCCTAAGTGATGGTGATAATGATCATTATCTGGATGGGATACAGACGTGAGGGGGCAGTGTTGGCACAGAGGTGCTGAGTGAAGCCCGTTGATGTAATTCAAGCTTAGGGGGCAGACACGGTGGCCCAGGAAGCACCGAAAAGGAAAAAGGGACTGAGGGCAGATCCCGAGGACACCTATGTCTAAGCACAAGGCAGAGGAGAGATCTGAAAGGGTACTGAAGATGGATGGGTGGTGAGGTGGAGGGAAAATAAAGAGTGCAAGGTCAAGAGAACATTCCAGATAAAGTGTTCATCAGTGTTAAAGGCTGCCGAGTAAGACCAAGACAGAGCACAAGGGCCTTGGAGGTAGGGTAGGAGGTAGGGAGAGTGCTTCTGAGGCTAAAGGGGGGTTCTGGGGCACGTCTCTTTCCAGCAGATGGTCAGTGAAGCGCATGGGCAACAGAAGTCAGGAAGGAAGCAATCACGGAGCAGCAATCCCCCGCAACCCCCCCCTACTCCACACCATCTGCGGCTTCCCCGTGGGCTCTGCTACACATCCAGATTAATTCCGACACGCCTGAGAACACGAGGTCGAGGTGCGTTTTCTGCCCCTGGGCCATCTGAGCCACAGGCAGGTCCTACCTTGGTCCGGGCACGCTCACGGTCTCCTTCTCGTTTTCCTCCAGCAACTTTGTGTATGACGACGGGAACCAACCCCTCCTGCAGGTGAAGAGTGGGGAGAAAAAGACCTTGCTGGGATGCTCCCAGCAGACAAGCAAAGCATAAACACACCCAGGAACGCTCGGTCACAGCGCAGGGGCCGGAACAGCTCGGTCACGGCGCAGGGGCCGGCCGGGCCACTCTCATCGCAGTCTCTCATATACAGAATTACTCTTATTTGGATTCCCTTTTTGTCTTTGGTTTCCATATTGGTTTTACTTAATACCTGAATAATCTACACAGAAACTTGATTTAACCTACTTCCTGTAAAGCTTATGCACGTCCAGTTGAAATGATGACACTGGCATTTAAACCATTCACATGCTAAATCTTAACAAAGTATATCTTGAGAAATCTGAAGTCACGTGAAAAAAACATTTAAAACTACTTTCAGAAGCGACTCCTATATATTTACGCATCAAATTCATCTATATACGCACACACACACAGAGAACAGTTGGGGAATGACTGGGAATAGAACAACTGCAGTTAACTGTAACTGTCACTAAACTATGAACCTAACTGTGGTGAAAATGCTCATCTGCCCACAAGGAAGACCTGCTACGAGGAGAGACAGCAGCCCTCTCGGCGTGGGACCACTGGACCCCCTCCCGAGACCTACACTTTGGTGTCCTCATGCTCTCCATACAGCCAGCCGTCCTTCTCCTCGGAGATGAGCAGCGTGATGACATCTCCCTGCGCGAAGCTAAGTAAGGTCTGGTTCGCGCCGGCCGTGTGCGGAAAGATGGTTTTCACTTTCTGCTTTTTTACCCTGTTCAGTCCAGTGGCAACAGAAACCGATCGCTGTAAACTGGGGTCATCTGAAGAACCTGTCAAAAATGAACCGAGCAGTGATGGCTTTTCAAGGAAGGATGATCAGGCAAGTTCAAAGGAGCCAAGCCCAGGAAACCACCCGCCCCCATCTCTCCAGCACACTCATTCCACTGAGACACCAATCGGATTGTATTTCCACACCTCCACCCATGTCTGGATGGACAGGGACAGCAAGGGACAGCAGCAGAGCCATGGCCCGAGGCCTCTCAGAGGAGGATCCCTGTGGCTAAAGGCTCTTTTCCAGACCGAGAGGATAAAGTAGTGTAGCCAAGCTTCATCTGCACTGATTCAATCAGGACGGCTCTTAAAGAGGCAAAGTTCTCCACCACCAAGTGGCCCACTGCTTTCCTTGCCGCACTCCCCCAGAACAAATCACAAGGCCTGTGCCACAAAAAAGAGAAACTGGAAATGTAGACGTTCTTGCTGCCACGGCTGCTCACCTGCACGCGTGGCAGGGATGTAGTGAGGGTGAGTCACGTGTATTGACTCCTCCCCCTAGGTGCCCGTGGCAGAAGCTGGAACCAGATGGAACCAGATGCGGGCGGCCTGGCTCCACAGCCTAACGCTGCACTCCGTCATGTCTCAGCTCAACGCAGGCTGATATCGACCGGCACTACCGCCGCCACCCCAAAATTGGAATGGAAAATTTTTTTTCCATATTTTTTTTCCACTCAAATTTTGCTAGCCCACTATTTACTATAAAATAATGCAAAATCTCTTTCTGCATCATTCTCGCAAATTCTTAATAAGTACAATGTAAACTTTGCTATCTCTTCAACATGCCGCATAGTCTAATTACCTCGGCTGTATTGAATTAAATGGTTTTCATTTAGCTTTTACCAATAAGAACCAAAGAATCATTTGAATGACTGGGCGGCACACAGCACTGTATATTTTAACTTTATATTATATATAACTTATAGTTCTTCAAAGGCAAATGGCTACAGAGTATCATCTTTCCAGCTGACATTCTGAAAATCCCATCTCTTCCCCAAGAGCTGCACGCGCTAGACAGCCCGTGGGCTCTCGCGAGCAACACACTGTGTGACTGCCACGACTTCACACCCAAGGGGCCCGTGAGTCCCCCCCAAAAGAGACGGGTCTGGCGCCACGACAGTCTCGAGGTCCTGGGTGCCAAAGACTCTGTGTAGGCAGAGTGGAGCCTAACCAAAGCCACCTGAAATGCCTGCAAACAATAACTGGTCCCAGTCTACTGAAATAGAGTCAACCGGGTTAAGAAATGTAAGCAGTTAGAACCTAAGCCCCCAGAAACCATGAAGTGCTCTGTTAGAGACAATGAAAACACTGATTATAATTTAAACGAAGCTTACTGGTAAGACTGATAACCATTAATTTTGTCATGTGAACTTCTACAGTTTGTTTCATTGAAAAAAAAAGAAATTTTAGTCCAATTGCCACAAATACGTAACACAGCGTGAGGCTCTGTAAGTTATATCCCATTTCTTTTAAAATATAACACCTTTCAATAGGAATGTTCACTGTATGTAAACATCAATCTGTATATAGAATTGGCATATGTCAAAGCAACGTGTCTTATGGTTTCAGAATAAACCTAGACCCCATCACAAGGTGTGAGTTCCTCCAAGCCAGTGTGGAGGGGGTGCTACCATACATGTGTATTTACCTCTATCTCAAGGCACACTTATCCTAAATATTTAAAAAATTTTAAAGGTACTTTAAAAGAAATCCAACTAAGTATCTTACCTGTTGAATTATTTTTTCTTTCTGAATTCTGTGCGACTGTGGCTGGGTTATTAAACATATCAATCAAAGGGCTGGTTAACGCTCTGGCTGAAGGAGCCGAGGGGATCTTTGGTGAATATTTAGAAAGGGTGTCATAATCTCGCCCAACCTGTGAAACATTCGTTATTAGTTTAACATTAGTGTAACACAGCAATGGCATTAGACAGATCCCCGGACTGTTTTGCATTACATGCTTTAAATTCCATTTTCCCCCCAAATTTTTTGTAGGGCAATGCCCCTTTTTGAATTATTTCAAGAACACCATGTCCTTTTTTCCATTTTTGTCTTTTTTTTTTTTTTAAAGCAGTTACTCCCCATTTTCCCCACCCCTTGGAAAGCACTCATCTCCTTCCTGTCTATATGGATTTTTAGGCTCCCTTTTAAGTGCTGCTTGGCTAAAGTCATCTACATTTAAAATTATTTTTCCACAGAATTTTGAGTGCATTACTCCATTACTTTCTAACATCTTGTTTTCCAGTATCAGTGGGATTCTCTTTTCTTTGTGAGTAATTTATTTTTGCCCTCCCTGAAAGTTTTCAGAATCCTCTCTTTATCGCTAGCATTCTGCCATCTGTTGAGGTTCTGGTCTTTTCCATTCAGCCAGGATCACCCTGACTGCTGTGTTAAAGGCCAGGCTACCGCGGTCACCTCTGCCGGACCTCGGTTAGAGCAGGGTGGGGGTAGAAGTGGTGGGAAACAACAGTGTGTACCCACGGGCTAGCCATGGCCTAAGAGAGGGAGAGGGTCGATGTCCGGTGTCCGCGCTGCTGGAAGGATGGAGTCGCCATTTACTGGATGGGAAAGACTGAGGAGAAGCGGGGTTAGAGTGAGACAGCCTCAGGTATGTGGTTTTGGACACGCTGAGCGGGAAGATCCCCACTAGACATGCGGGCAGTGAGGCCCCAGGCGGCAGCTGGATGTACCTCCCACGTTTCAACCCAGCTAACATTGATAACCTCTTTGATTTTTTTTTTTTTTTTAAATCCTGTCTTTGCACTGTATTTTGGGAGAGTTCTTTGGCTTAATTTCCCAAGCTGATTCATTCTGCTAAGGAGTCCAGCTCTTGTTTTGGGGTGTTTTTGGAGGGGACGAGGGGGAAATGAAAAACTTTAATTTTAGAAAAATTTGGAACAGGTACAAAAGTAGAGAAAACAGCACAATAAATCTCCATGTACCCAACACCTAGCTTCGACAATTACCAATCCACAGACATTCTCGTTTCCTGTATGCCCCATCCATCTTCCTCCACAACTGGATTATTTTGAAGCGAATCTCAGACATACCATTTTAACTAGAAATAATAATCCTTTTAAATTTCCAAGACAGCTGACTCTTCTCTGTGGTTGTAATAGCCTTTCATCTCTTTTCTCCTCTGCCCTGTTGGCTCTGTTGCCCCCTTTACTCGTCATTCCAGTTTTCACTTTGGTGCGTCTTTTTATGACACTGGTTTCCCCCACTTGTTCAGTGACCGCTGGTTGTCTGTCCATCTTTGTACTGGGTGGCAGTCCCCATTCTTTTTACTGTACACGACAGTCTGTGTTTTCCCTGTGCTCCTGATCGCATGCGATGTGGGGAAGAGGCAAGACACACCCCCAGGAGTGGGCCCCACCCTTCGGTCCACACATGCTGTTTCAGTTCACAGACGAAAGCCCGGGCTGCCTGTGATTTAGCACAGGTGGGACAAGCGGAGGGACCAAGCAGCCTGGACAGTCTGAACCAGCTCCCCAGCCGACAACACTCAGGACACCCCAGTTTCTTCCCCGCTTCTTGGATCCACTGGCTCTGAACTGACGGCTCCACCCTCTGCAGGAACCTTGCCCTGCACATCTTCCCTGGGGCTGACATGTCCTTCTATTTTCATTCTCCACACGCTGACCTTGCCTTTCTCGCTCTGGAGACTCCTTTCAGTGTTTCTGGTCCATTGACAGCACCTGCTCTTTATTTTCCCATGTGGTTATGGATCTATTAGGCAGGTTGATGGCTGGTCATTAATATCTTTGCTGTCATTTCACAGGGCTTTATATAGACAGGGAGGGTGGACTGACACATGTGTTCAAACTACCTGCTGGATTTGAATCTCCTCACGTGTTTGTGAAAAAATAATAGAGCCCATATTCAAAGAACAGTGAACTACGATGCTTGAATTCATTACCTGGAATACTGGGGTGATTATTTTTTTCCTCAGGTGCCTTATGTAGTGATGAATGGCACCAGAGTTTTGCTAATCTGTGTTCTAAGACACTTTACGCTTCCTTCAATGGGAATAAACTTATAAAGTTGGAATCATTACAATTAAAAACAGAATCAGTAAAAAAAATCTCCAAAACAAAGATTACAGTGCTAACACAGTGTGAAACATTTTCACATCTAGTTTCAAATCTGAAGGTAAGGGGATAAAAGGAAAGGCAGGCCCTAGAAGTAGTACAGGAGAACCTGTGATTTCCACTAACAAAGAAGGCCTTGGTCTGTCGTGCAAATATGGCTGAAATCTTATTTAGCAAACACACAACCAAAATCTTGAGGAGACAACCAGCTCTTACCATGCTTCTTCTCTCGATCATGGGTGAAGGTAGAGGCGTTCCAGACATTGGGGTGGAGATTGGGGTCTTAATTTCTTCGATCATATTCATGATTTTCTCTGGTACTTTGGTGGCATCACCACATGTTTCTTGCCACTTAGGCAGTTTGGAATTGATCAATTCTGCAGACTATAAATTCAAAAGAAACAAAACCAAAGAGAAACGTGTACTGTTGGAAGGACTGACACAAATTACAACTACTACTAATGTATTCCTGGCTTACCACTGGAAGTGTGGGAACTATGAGTTCAATTCAGTGAGGAGCTTAAGCACCTATGGGGATCTGCTGTGTCTTATTTGCTGAGGATGTAGGCTCCTGTTCTGAAGGAATTTACATCTCCCTCAGGGTGAATACAGAGTTCAAGACTAATACAAGGATTGTACATGATTCAGAAGAAGTTCAAAAACTAAAAGGGAAGGCGGATCAATCCGTCTTAATCCCCATGTTTCCCTGCGGTCCCAGAACTGCCAATCCCCACTGTCTTCCTCCCACAAGAAGCACCTCTGACCGAGCGACAGGACCAAGAGTGGACTCTGTTTGTGTGTGTACGTTCGCGTGCACTAAACACTGTCCTAAGTACTTCATCCTTGTTAATTCACTGCATCTGCCCCACAATCCTAAAGTAGGTACCATTCTCATCCCCATTTCACAGATGAGGAAACTGAGAACTTTGAGAGGCTGAGTAACTGGTTAACACAGCCTTCCGTGGTAGATCCAGGACCCTGAGGTTTCAACTACTGGGACCTCAGGGAAACCGGACTGGCGTGTTAGAGGAGTGAATCAGACCTGCCCTGAGAAGTTCCTCTACGGGGACAGAGGGACTAGAAGCAGAGCGTGGTGGGTCTCCAGAGTCGGGGGAAGTGTTGAGGGGAAGCCCCGCCCACAGGCCGGCTGGGGCTCTGGGGCAGGCAGACCATGGGCTTTGCAGAAAAGCTGGATTGCAGAACAGAGAGATGCAGAAGGACAGCGACGAGACCCCTTAGCCCCAGAGGCAGAGGCATCTGTCCTGGTTCCCACAGCCTGGCTCTTCCTTCAACTGGACTCCCAGACTCCCCAGAGCCTTTCCGAGAACCCCTTTTTCCAGGGCGGCAATCTAGTTGGAAAAGGGAAGCAGGGGATCTTTTTTGAAACTATTTTCATAACAACCACACTGTTTTTCATCTAGGCTCTGTGTCCATCAGAAGTGGGCTGGGGGAGTTGGTGTAAATCCTAAGCCCCGCCCCTCACACCACCCTGTCCCCTGCGTGTGACGCAGACACACCGCGGACCAACTACTAAGCCTGCTTCATCCAGGACTGGGATCAGGGAAGGCACAAAAACGGTTTCAGAGACTTGAAGAGACTTCTGCTAGGGAAAGGAGGAGATCTGGCTTGCGTCACACTAAAAAACGTAATAGGGACTCAAGGTTAAGTGTAAGAAAGACTGTCACCAACTAGAGCTGTCTGGAAATAGGCCATGCTGCCTCACAACACAGCAAGGACCCCATTGCTGGGGGGTGGTGTCACCACAGAGAGCTTCAAGGTTGCTTCTGTGCCCCTCCGGCCCACGACCCTGCCCCAATAGGACAGTGTCACCATGGAAACATTAGTACGTATGCACTGGTGACAAAAGCGATCATCTAATGCAGCATATTTTTCTTTCCTGTAACAACCTGAGACCTTAGGTATTTAGATTTGGTAGCTGAATATTCCTTAAAGTTGCAAAAACTTTATGGAATATGTAACCTGTGATATATGCATACATACAAGTCCAAGTTTTCTTTCCCCCTGAAAAGAGGAAGTTGCACTATATTCAAGCTCTTACAAAGCTTCTCATATCATGGAGTGCTCTCTAAATTACTTTATTATGAATAACAATGAATATTTGACTTCAGTCAATGCTAGCTCTGGATGCTTACATAAGCCCAATAGAATTCATAATTTAAAAAACAAAAAAACAGAGGAAAGGAAATTTAACACACGGTTTGTAATGATTCCTGGAAATATAACCTCACAACTGCATGCGCTGAAGGAGAGGGATAAATCCAGTCACGCAGCTGATGCGACCTTGAACAGACACACAACCTGAGGAGGAGTGAAAAAGGAGCCCCGACCAGCTGTCCTGAGGCTGTGAATGGGGTCTGTGGCCTGGGATAGAATTTCCAGCAACACCATCTACATGGACCTCCAAGGTGAGCATCTCAGGCCACCCAGGTGGGCTGGACCTGGGGCCTGCTGGGACTCACCCCGTGGTTCTGGGGAAGACACTGATGTTGAAGATGCATCAGAAAGAGTCTAAGAAAAGCTGACTCATGGGTGAGAAAAGGAAAAAAGTGCCATTTCTCAGTTATTCAATAAGTATGAATGTGTTACTAAATTAAACATTATAAACAAGCATTTGACCATTTCATCTACATTTCTGAAAGTTTACACATTCAAGTTGGTCAAAAATTATTTCCTTGGGGAACTTCCCTGGTGGTCCAGTGATTAGGAATCCACCTTCCAATGCAGGGGACGTGGGTTCAATCTCTGGTCAGGGAACTAAAATCCCACATACCATGGGACAACTAAACCCACGCGTTCTAGAGCCCGCGCACTGCGATGAAAGATCCCGCATGCCACAGCTAAGATATCCCGTGTGCCGCAACTAAGACTCAATGCAGCCAGATAAATAAATAAATAACTATTATAAAAAATTTATTTCCTTGTGATCTTCTCCCTGGCAAATAAGCCTTTCGCTTTATATTTGGGCACGTATGGAAGGTGAAGCATTTCAAGGGCATTTAAATATGAATAAAATTAGTCCTCACAACGCAATTTGCCACCACACCCACCTGTAAGTGATACTGATGAATGTGATTTGCGAAGCTGCAGTGTTTGTCAACTAGGAAGCAGAAGCGCCTTTTCTCTTCAAGTAGAGCTTCTTTGCAACCATCTGCAATAAATTTCTGGATTTCATTCTGGCGAGAAGTGATGGTTTCTACATACTAGGAAAATAAATAGTAATTATACAAGTATGACATGAGGAATCAAATAGCTACACAGCCTGACACTTATCTTCTCCCATCTTTATGCTTGGTTTATTTTGATAATGGAGTAAGTGCTAAATGCAGATAAACATTAGACAAAACGACGTACTTGTAACCTGATCTGAGCAGATGGCAAATTCTCATTGAGATCCCTGACTCATGCTTGGAGAGAAGTTGCCAAAGGCCTTACATTCCACTGGGTAATTTGCACAAAATATTACTTTGTAATCCAGGGATATGATTATGTTTTACTGGAAAATCGTGGGACCAAAAAGTTCAGAACCAGAAAGTTCAAGTTCAAATCCCAGTTCCAAGTGCCAACCATGTGACTTAACCTAGCCCTCACTTTCCCCATCTGTAAAATGGAGATAGTAATGCTTATACTGGGGAGTCCCTGACCCTCCCTGAGTTGGGAGAAAATGCCAATGCTCTTGACTAATTATTAACTTAACTCCGGGCAACTCTGCGGCCTTCAGCTCCTACCAAGTCGAAATGCTTATTTTTAACTTTCAACAGCAGAACAGTGACGGATGAAGCATAGACTGACTGAGGTGAGCACGCTTCCCCGTTAACTGTACAAACCATCAACCCCAAAATAAAGTAAAATAGTGCTGAAAAGTTCACCTCCATCTCCTTGTGTTCATATTTGAGTGCATTTCGTCCTCCTTGACTTTTCCTTCTGATCTTCTTCAATTCAGCTTGAGATTTCTCCAAAGAATCTAATTTATTCCTGTGTTCTGCTTGGTATCTTTTGAGAGTCGCCTGTAAGTTAAACGTTGCACTTATTTTTACTGCAGCACCAGGCAGTGTCAGGCGGTTACTCTTGCTGCGTTTCCACTGGGCGTGGTGGCAAAAGGCCCACGCTTCGCGCTGCCCTGCCTGGCTGCAGGTACCCCCACTTCACACCACCCCACTCCGCTCCTTCGACTTCAATGTCCTGTCCTAAAGTTCCCCGTTTATATGATGAGCCCCTGACCAGAAGGGCAGCTTCTCGGAGGAAAACAATGTCGTTTCTTTCTTTTATTCCTTTTTTCTCCAAGGTCTTTGGACACTGGGTGGCCTGTAAGTGCTTTGGTGAATAAATGAACAATATCAACTCACACACTCCTGACTGTTTTATGACTTAACGATTTCAAGAAACAGAATGAACAAGAGCCATCACTTCCGGTGATTCTGAGGGCTGTGAAACAGTGTTCTGGAGCCTCACAGACCTGGGTTAGAATTCTGGCTTCATCCCTCATTTCCTGTGTGATCTCAGCAATTACTTAATTTTTCTGAAATCCATGCTTACCCTCTAATCTGTACAGTGGGGATATAGTAAGAGTACCTATGTTACAGAGTTTCTGTGGGGATAAAAATCAGACAATGCACGTAAAGGGCTTGGTATTACATCCTCCGGGCCACAGAGCACGTGCACGCAGGGCAGCAGGACGACTTCAGGGTGACCCCCACCGCTTACTGCCATGCGGGGCTTGTGAAGAAGGGGAGCTTCGGGCGGCCAAGGAAGCAGCTACTGTGCAGCAGAAAGGCGAGGCGGAAGGAGCAAACTGCTGGAATCGACACTGCCGTAGGGCAACAGGGGAGAGACACCACGATGGGACCGGGGCCCCAGGGAGCTCCAGACGGCGTCCTCCCACACGGCTCATGTCCACAAGTGTCGGTTTGTGAAAGCAACAGCTGCACTAACGCAGATGCAGGTGTCATCCACATATGCATGTTCCTTGAAAACAATGTTTTCCAGAAGTGTATGATTCCCTGCAGGATTTCCTGCTATGCTTTTTAGTAAAGATCCCAAGTGTTAGCACTTGGCCCACTCAGCCCAAAGGGACCTTGTCGGTGTTATGCGGCTGTGTACACACTCGACGGCCAGCTCCATCATACCTGCTGCTGCTGAGTCAGCAGTGGGGGAAGTTGTCCTCGAGCTCAGCCATCAGGCAAGTGCAGCCTTCGCGAGAGCTGGGCCCCTGGCCCCGGGCCACCTCCACCTACGGGAGGTGGAGCAGAACTAGGTACTCACGTTCATATATTTTACATCAAGCTCTGTCTTCTTCTCCAGCTCATGGATAATCTCCTTATGGAATTTTCTGAACTGTTAACACAAGGAAATGAAAAATTCAGACCAGGTTTGAGACTTGAAGTGAAATAAAATTTAAAAATAAGTATATTTGGTAAATATAAAAACAGTTCACATACATTTTCATCAAGCCTCTCGTTGAGTTTCTTGTGGATACTCGAAATCTCTATGAGAACGTGGCCTGTGGACAAAACCAGGTACGTAAGGGCAAAAAGCCACTGCGTGGTTTTTGTAAAGATATGAAGGGAAGTAAAGTGGTGGATGAAGCCCAGTCCCTGGCTGCTCCCAGAGCAGGTGGGCACCAGCCCCGTGGCACTGGGAACACCGGCTGCGTCCTGACAGCGGGGGTGGGTCAGATGGACACAGCTGACAGCAAACTTACTCCACAACATCGTTCATCAAAAGCTCGCCAACTTTGTCTTTAAACTCACGTTGTTCTCTGGCCATTTACTCATTCCCTAAGCTGAATCCTATTTATCTGGTTTAATTGTTAAATTCTCTTACAAGAGATTATTTTGGTCATTATAGTACTAACTATAGGAACAAATGACTTATTTTCATCTAATCCTGGGTAATCTGATTATCTGTCAGGCATAAAAGACAGAGGTTATTTTCTCTTCCTCACATTAGTTCTCGTATCATTCTGGAAAATCTCAACACCACAGGAAACTGCAGCAGGGACAGTGTTCTGCCTCGCGTCTCCTGGGGCTACACCGTTCTCTGAAATGCCTGCACAGAAGAGAATGTTCTGGGACAAAGGAGTGTCGCTCCAGAAAGGCAGCGAGATGGCCACTTCTAAAGGTGAACAAGAGCCCCCCCGCCAACTTCTCTACAGGAACCAAATGGGTCTGATATCCAAAAACTGGGAGCAAAAGAGTTATTTGGAACCACCACCAAATCATCCCAAACCACAAAACATGCCGAGCGGACCATCCTACGGTTCGGTGGGCAGATAAAAAGGAGTTCTTTGGGCAAACTGAAAGGCTGTGGATGAGGGAGAATGAAAAGGACGAGTATGGTAGACACGGGGGAAGAGGAAAAGATTACTGATTAGACTCTGGTTTCAGCGAGCACCTCTATGCAAATGACTTTAGTAGGCCCAGTTCTGGAAACACCTGAAGACATCTGACTCTAAGGGGGCAGCCCAGGCTCTCCCCCATCTTCTAACTCAGAAATTCTGCCCGTCCTGAACATGTCCACCTGGATGTCCCACTAGTCGCCCCGTATTCGGCAGGCCTACGAGTGAACCCCACCCCGCCCTCATTGTCTCTAATACCAGCTCTTGGCTGCCAGCCAGCCAGTCATGAGGGGTCGACACCCCGCCTACGGCCAATGACAGACTCATTCCCTCGTGCCATCACTTGGGCACCTCCAGCATGGAACCATGCCTCTTACTCATCCTGCTTCCTTGGGCAACAAATGTGCCAGCCCTCCCCTACCCAGGAGAGAAGGCACGTGGGGATGACGTGAAGTCGATGTTCACTCGATGACCTGTTCTAGGAGAGGTGGGCAGGGGTCTCCCCAGGCCCTCTGCCCCACATGTTTACACCTGCCAGTTGGACCTCTTAGGAGGCGCCCTCCTCCTTCAAGCTCTTATTTCTCATGACTCCCAGCTTGTTCTCTTCTGGATCTCCTCCCTCACAGGTGCCAGGGATCTTTCCAAATCTACATGTAAAATGTCACTCCCTCCCATGGGGTCCCAGATAAAACAACTCCTCGGCCTGAAGCCCACCATGAGCAGTGTTGCTTAAAATAACCATCGTGGGTGGTGGGGACAGAGAATCTCCTGGAAGGATATAACCATGTTAATAGGTTATAGGTACATGTAAGTCCCTAAGCACCATGTGATTCTAGGAACATCTGCTGGATAAGCATGAGAGCGAGGGAAGACACGTCCCCAGCACTGATGGTCCACGTGCCAGGGTATCAAGGTACCCACTCTACACCCTCAGTGACACTGACTCCATTTATCCCATAATTCAGTTCTCCTAAAGCTCAACATGAAACAAATAAACCAGAGTTCTTCACAAAGGAAGCCTTTATATGACCAAGAATATAATTACATTAATATGTCATTTCATATATTGAAATAATCTGAGTTACCTTCACATCTATTTTAAACCCATAACTCCGAGTTGGAGATGAAAAATAAACAACAACAACAAAAACCACTTCAATTAATTGCAAATCAAGCACTCTATCCTGGGCAAATCAGATCTACTTAAAAAAGAAAAAGGTCTAAAAATAATTTTGCTTAAATCATTCAGAGTGATTCAGGCTAGTAGCAAAGTGTTCACATTTTTTTTTTCATGTTGTCATGAACTTAATTTTTACAACCTTATATAACATGGACCTCTGAGAAGCGTGTCAAAAGTATGTGCTTGTGCAGTGCCCTCGGGAACGCCAGCGCTGCTAAAGCCGGCGCTCTGGCCTGAGGGCCCCGGCCACCCGAGCCCCCTCCTCACTCTCCCCCTCCCGTCCACAGTCTCTCCCCGCCCCGCAGGCGCCCAGTGAAAAGGCCCAGTGAAACAGCCCATTCACTCTGTGGGCAGAGACGGAACACCTGACCTTCCCCCCTGTTATTCCTGTCCCTCACAGTTCGTGGAATTTAAATGCCAACCTCATAGCAGTAGCCACTGAGTCCTCAGTCATAGAAAGGATTAAAAAACATCTTTACTGTGATTTTGCAAGCTGCCAAAAGAGTATCTTGAAACAGAAAATGAAAACAGCCTTTATGTTCAATCTACAGAAGTTTATTCTTAACATAGCAAGTGTTACTTTATGTCTGAAATGTGGTATCGCACGTTTTACTCTTAGCCCTGTAACCTACTTTTTCATAAATTACATTTGGGAAGAAAAAAAATTTTTGAAACAAGAGGGTGCAGTCGAGAAAACGGCCCAGATTCTAATGGAGCAGAACTAAGTAAACGTCTAAACAGGAATCAGAGTGTTGATCCCAGAAATTACAGCACCGTATGTACTGGATCAACCATTTCCTTTTTTCCCTTTTAGGTTCTGAGTCAATATTTTGGGAAGAAACTCATAGTAAGTACAGTAATGTAATTCGGTCTGAATAAATTATATTCTTAAATAACAATATTAAGGGAATTTAAAAATATACAAATTTTTTAAAATCATGAACTTGATACAACTAAAAGTCAATGTCTACCATCAATTTTTCTCTAAAATTCATACAAATAATAGCTCCTCATGGTATCACTCTAATTTTAGGAACTATGAATATGTCCAACATTTTGGACAATACTGTATGAAGATACACATCTAGCCAATAGGCAGTATGGACTTCAAAAGTTAAACAAAAACTAAAAAATATTACTAGTATGAACACAAAGAAAGTTTTCATCTGAAATATAGGTTAGTCATTGGACTATTAATTTATTTTCAACTAGATAATTCTTCATCAATTCACAGTATAAATTTAGAGGAACCAGATGGACACTACTAACAGACGTGAGTAGCACAGAACATGTAGGCATAAATATTCTTTTTCATTTATATTTGATTGTGGATAATCAGAACATTTATTATTTCCAGATAGCACAGAGCAGTGACAGGCGCACACTACTTCCTCCGTGTGACTTTGAGTGGAATCAGACAATAAAATGACAAGATGGAAGCCAACCCACTACTGGCCTAAAGTTACACTGTATGGATGAAAGGAAAACTGATAGAAAAAATGTCACTGGAAAAAGGATATACTTTTTCTGAGAGTTTTTCAAATACCCAGTGTGATGCAGAGAAAATATAATGAAAGTAAAAGCAAATTACACATAGATGGGATACGTTAAAAAACACAAGTATGTACTCAGGGTCACCAGCACTGTTAGCAGAGTCGGAGTAGTACCCACCAACATGTGACCCAGCTTGGAAGGCTTTGCCGGCATCTAAGAATAGCTCCCAATGGCTGTTCCCAAGTCCCTGGATGCAGGTGGAGGTGCTCTTCTCTCATCAGTATTGAAATTGTGCAAATAAACAATGTGCACATAGGCACAATGCCAAGTCAGTGATAGGGTGAGCATTTCATCCAACGTTCCTCCAAAGTCTAGCTTTTGACTTACCCAATCATAGTTCTACAGTTCTAATTAACACCTTGCATGGAGACTATAATTATTCTACCATTGATCATGATTTATCCCATCTGATGAAAACAAGTGAGACAAACTGAAGTTATACAACAGAATTATATAGTGTTCCAAAGTTCTTTCATTGTCAGAAATGAAAGTAAAGTGCCAAGTAACAACTGACTTTGATAAGAAAAGATGCATGGTGAAATCTCCAGGGTAGCCACTAAAAGAATAAAGTTCATATAACTATCAAGCTAACAGAGAGGAGAAAAAATAGTCAAAAAGAGGACTAGAGAAGAAATTAACATAGGACAGAGAGTAGAAAGCAAAAGTAATTACACTGGAGGTAAATGGAGTATATAGTTTAATTAAAAGACAAAGATTGTTAGGATTAAAAAAAACAACACCCGGGGCTTCCCTGGTGGCCCAGTGGTTTAGAGTCCACCTGCCGATGCAGGGGACACGGGTTCGTGCCCCAGTCCGGGAAGATCCCACATGCCGCGGAGCGGCTGGGCCTGTGAGCCATGGCCGCTGAGCCTGCGCATCTGGAGCCTGTGCTCCGCAACGGGAGAGGCCACGACAGTGCGAGGCCTGCGTACCGCAAAAAAAAAAAAAAAAACCAACACCCCACTATATTCTGCTTACAAGAAACACACTTAAATACAGAAAGGTTGAGAGTAAAAGGATGGAATCAGATACATGGCAAACACTAACCAAAAGAAAGCTGATGCCGGTACATTAAGACCAAACAAAGAAGACAAAATAGTCAAAGAAGGCAAGAAGCATTATTAGAGATAAAGCAGTCATTTCATAATGGCAAAAGGTTCAATTCATCCGGAAGATAGAAAAATTTTCAATTTGTGTGCATCTCAATGTAGTCTCAATGTTTCTAAACCAAAATTATAAAAAAGAAACAGATAAATCAATAGCCATCATAGGAGATTGTAATATATCTCTCTTAGTAAACTGATAGAACAAGCAGACAAAAAAATCAGTACAGATATAGATGACTGAATAATGCAATAAAGAAACTTGATCTAGTGAACATATTAATACTATATAATACATATAAAGAATACATTATCTAAAGCAGAAA